AGAGGTGCTCCGATCACGCCACAACCCAAATCCCTCTCAAGTTGGCTCTCTCTACAAGGGTAACACGTTACCCTTTAACGAATCCGACCTTGGGAGGCTAAGTAGAGGGTACATCGTTGCTTCTGTGAATGCAATATAGGATTATGCAAAGACGAAGGACTGCATTGTACAAAAGCCCGCGACCCAACTTTTGCTGAGACGCTACTTTTAGAGTCTTACAAAAGAAACAACCTTCCGTCTCCAGCTTTGCTGGTTCTGTGTTTATTGGACCCAATCAGCCATTTTTGTTTTATGCAAAGTGTAATTTTAGTAGAGGGAATATCCCGGAGGCACTCAGCAACTAGGGCTTTGTTGTCAATTTTCCTCGTATGTGTGGAGATTTTGTTACAGAATATGAGTAATATAAAGGGTTAATATACTCATTTGAATCAGGTACTTTAGTCGTTATCCTATACAAATTCATTGCGAATGGAGAATTTATGTACCAGAGTGCTGACTAAAAAATATAGGCCCACTTTAAAAAATACCGTAACTCACTCGGTTGTCAATTTGATTCAAAATTCGGCACTTAGTGTGAAACTGCCTACTATTAGTCACCAAAACAAGCCGTCACCGAGATTTGATGGCACGACTAATGCCGATCCGTGGCATCGTAAAGTTGACGTATACAAGGGAAGGCCGCTCGCTCGAAGTGGCGATCCGGAAGATGATGTGTGCCAAACGGATGGAGCTTGAAACTAATCTCAAATATATCTTCTATGACTGTAAAGCGTTTTTTTTTTGAAAGATCTATGAGGATTTCTTATGCTAATTTTTGTGAATTTCGATGGCAAAATTCGGAAATTTCCACACAAATATATGCAGGCTCAACAAAAACCACCTAATAAGCGTTGTAGGCCTGAACTGATTCTAAACGTTCTTAGGTGTTGCTCAGCCCATATTGTTATCCACATTTCATTGTAGCCCGAAAAAGCCCATAACTTCCTTGGATTAACGCTTCGCTTTTGTATAACGTTGGTGCAAAAGTAATGCGCGTCTTCCGATTCCTCAATTCCACATGTTAAAACTTTCTAGCAAATCTATATTTTTCAATGCGATAAAGACCATCAGAGGCAGCAAAGCTTTCGCAATACAGCACACATCCCTTTGTGCTTATATCATCAACGGCAAAAAATTATGGATTAATAAGCGAAAAAAAGTTCTTTGAATCTTTTGACTGGCCAAAACTCCAATCAAAATTTGTTAATGTAAATGATAAGTAGCCTACCTTGTAGCCGCAAGCTTATAGTACAAAAAAGATGAAAGGTTTGTAAAAAAAGGTTTGCGAAAAGAAAAAAGTAAAAAAGTAAAATTGCCACCTTTTTTCAACAAATGGAATTTTTGTTTTCTGCGTAGTAAACGGCTAAACGTTTTTGCAAAAAAAACTGTCAAAAAGAGACCCTATCCTCACGCTTACAGAAATGAGTGAAGTTTGGCAACTGTTTTTTGCAGTACAACTACATGGACCACAACAGACAATGACTGACAGAATACGACTGGCCTTGTTGAGGTGACGATATCTCAGCTTAGATAATCTCAGAAAAAATGATTAGATGTGCATAATGTAGACATTTTGTAGGCATTGCAAAAGAAGCTGGATTTTCACAGGAATGTCTATATTCGCGCCTGAGTGCTGACCCGAGAAGTAAATGCAATGGAATTCTGGTTGCGCTTGTATAAAGCTCTATAATTTTTTTATGAATGAGGCTAGAAGCCCGTTCTAACGACCAATGGATGGAGTATAAAAAGATTCTTGATGCCATGCTAAGTTTTTGCCAAAGAACAAATTTTGATGGAAAAAATTGTCTTAAAACATGAGCTACAAAGACGCACTTTACTTTTGCACTAACCTAATAGAAGGTGTATTAAGAATCAGCGTTTCAAATTCTATCCGTTGGTATCCATCCAATTCTATATCTTTACTTCGAAAAAGCGGTTTCCCTTGTTAGGGCCGTCCGCCTCGACTTGGATTGACGGAGGTTCACTACAGGTCATTCTGCACTTGACGTCTCGCAAGTTAAAGTTGCCACACAGGTAGTTAGTGCACATATTTGTTCCAAAACTTTATTATTCTAAATACTCGATGAAAGATATTAAAAAACCAAGAATTTCGACCATTAAATCAACAAAAAAAAACACACACACACAATATCGCTATGTTCGATTTTCTGATAGCATAAATTGATGTTCCAAAGACTAAAAGTTAGCTGAGCATAGTGGATACCTTGCTTAAGTATTCAGTTTGGGTTTTGAAACTTTTGTAAGAATAAAGGATGAAAGATTTGTTGTTTTCTTTACTCTTCTAAGCATATGCCGTAGATATCATGTTACACTGGAAGAAACAACCAACTGCTTGCGAACCTTTGCTATGAACTGCGGACGTTAGATGAGTAGCTTTGATTTGATCAAAAGGTTCGGGGATGAAAAGCGAGGAGCAGTTTATGATTCCAAATGAGAAAACGGCGGTACGTGCCACTACGCTTGTCCTTGTTCCCCTTTGCTCTGAAGAGATACCTCATACAAGGATTTCATATTGTTGAGGTGGGAGGTCAACAGACAAAACAAAACATAAAAGCACCCCTTCAAAAGCGTTTTTATTGGACTTCTCCTCCAAGCTAATGAAAACTGCCTGTCTTGTAAGCTTGTGACGACACAATCAATCTATCTCCACGGAGATATACTGACACACAAAATTATCAACTGCACAATCGATAAACCTGTCCGTAAACATATGTAGTGCTTTAGCGGCGTTGTCGAAATTTCGCTGCAATTTAGCTTGTGAATGAAATGTCACGACTGAACTGCCTGCATTTGCGCATGCAGAAGGGTCAGTTTAGTCACCTCACATGACCATATGTGCCGTTGCACATAATGTCAACCTTTGCCGCCTTCGTCCTGGTTTTCTGAAGTAGACATACTTCCAAGTGAGTGTTTGGGCTATATCATAGTGTCTTCTTGTCTTCTCAGGCACGTAACTACTTAAAGTGTAATCGTTGCGTTTTTGCAGTTCCAAGAGGGGAACAACAAGGTGCGCCAAATTTCACCGAAAACCTTTCCTGAGAAGTGTATCACAGACAATTACTTGAGTACTCACAATGCTAATGCGGTGAAGAAAATATAGTGTAGTGGAAGCCATGACTAGTGACCGAGTGCTTGCATGTTTCTCCTTGTTTTTTTAAGCAGTCTATGCACACACAATCGGAGATAAACTAGCGATTGTTTAGCACTAGCATACCCCGCCTCCGCCCTGCCCTGTTAAAGCATTATGGTAGAGGTCACCAACCCCATTCCTGTACAGCCTGCCCATGTTCCCATTTTTACATGCCAGTTCCCTATGCCCGGTTAGTTTTCGTAATCACCATGCTTACTTGCTCCCTGCGCCAACCCCAGCCCTGTTGATCACACTTTGCAAAAAAAAATCGATGACATTGGTAAAATTGACGGACATTTCTAAAACTAATAATGTATTCGTAATCAGCATGCTCGCTTATCCCCTCCTCTGTGTCAAACCCCAGCCTCGTCGCTCAAAGCTTGCAAAAAATAAATAAAATCGACGAAAGTATAAGATAGTTCTAAAAACTAATGTTGAGACAAACAGACATTCAGCTTTAACAAGATTCTTTCCTTGAAGGCAGTGTCCCAGTAAAAAACTGCTTTCCGATCTTTCAACTTTTTGGAGCCTTTCGTTATGCTGAACCGTATCTGGATTTTTCAGCGCATGAAAATGGTCGAGAGGTTTTTTGAAGCTCTACAAGTCCGTGTTCGCTCAAAATTACTTGCAAACAGGCGAGGTCCGAAAGACTTCTGGAGTAGATTCTAAGCCTTCTAGGTGCGCTTTCGTTCAAGATAGATTATTTGGATGGTCTACTATTGCAACGCTGTGAAGTTCTAATACCCATGACATTGCTGGGACGCTGCCTTTTAAGAGCTCCATCCTATCTAATTTATAATGTCTTGCTATATTATGACAAATTGTTCGTGATTGGATTTTACTCGATTGTCAGCTCGTGAAAGCGCAAGCGAATATTTTAAAATATAAATGCGCATCAAATAAGCAACTGTACGATGACAAGGACGATGGTTGATATGCATAAGAGCTTCCATATCATTACCGATCAAGGCTGACATCGCAAATCATAACTACCGTACTAAAAATTGTGTGAATGATTTTGTTTACATACTTTATATCCTTATATCCTTCCACGATGGTTCCGACAAGAATCCTCAAAGCGAAAAGCTTCTTGATTTTAACGGCCTATATGGCCCTAAACTTTGATAAAAATTATCTTACACTTCCGTGTCCCCAGAATGCTCATTGAAACACCTTCAGACTGCTGTTGAAGTGCCAAACGTCTTTGGGCTTACTTTTCGATTACATTGCTGATTATTGAAGAAAATCCCCGGTGCAATATCGCAGTGAGCGTAGTACGTCGTCGCAAACTCATCCAATTTTTCAATCAAGAAAAGACCAAATCTTGAGATTGAGATTGAGCAGAACTCTTCGCGTAGGCCATAATCTTTTGAATAACTTACAATTCTATGCCAACTCGTTCAGATGTTGATACCAAAGGGTAGCAGTCAACATGAACTGTAGCTAGTTCCAGCTACACAGTTGCGTTACTCAATCTATATTTACGCTGTGATTAATTAGAAAATTTTGGGGAAAAAGTTTGATGCTGGAAGTTTAATAGGCCCTAATCTTTACTCGACACCATTTTTATATCACCAAAAAATGGTGTCGAGTAAAAATTAGGGCGTGGCGTACGCCGCGATGAACGGTAGCTGCAATTGCATAGTCTGTCGCACAAGTCTTTAGCCAATCACTAGTTTGATTCATCTAAGTCGATGTTTAGGATCGGAAAGTAGTTGTTTACAGCAACCTTTCCGATTCTATGACCTCAAGCGACTATTCTATTCTAAGACCTCAAATGTAACAACACTGTACATACATGAAAGAATTTATTTACTAGCAAGAGTAAAAAGCAATACCTAAACGAAAGATGACTACGAAAGATGAAGCGCCCCCGTATAGTAGAAAAGTCTAAAGAAAAGACAGGATAAGCGATGTATAGTTGTTTAGAGTTACGATCACTGCACACAGAGTCCAAGAGCGCTGTCGCATGTCGTAGGACAAGCAGCACAAGGACTTCCTTTCATGTAAAGCACTTGGTCCACGATGTTACCTCTATAAAACTCTCATACTAGCTTGAGTGAGAAAGCAAACGTGCGACGTACTTTGGCTCATATAGACATATGACCGTGTAGGAAGATGAGCATTTGGCGATTGCACATCCAGTGTATTTGGTGTTGGCCCAAGCAATCTGAGAATGAGAAGTAAAGGTGCTTATCTTGTGTTATGCAAATAGAAAACTCAGCTTGTGTTCCACTCAATCTACTGTTTCCTAGTGTGCTTATAATCACTAAGGTCCACAACATGCATAAATGGCATTTCTAAAAAAGTATTCGTCCTTACCTGGGTATACGATTCTACGGGTTGGTTCACATGATTACTACGGAATGTCACTTGCATTCCTGGACCATTTCTTTCGGTACTAACCACATTCCACCAATTTGTCACAGCCTATATCTTTGCATTTTACGAAATTCTACGTCATGAACTCAACAAAATTGTCAACCTTATCTAATGCATCACTGTAAGTTGATGTAACAATACTAGTGCCGAAGTTTTTACCATACGAATTATTATCGGACGTCTTATATGTAGGACATTCTCGCACTTCTTCAATAGCTTTTTTTTCCAGCTCGCATTTAAAACTCTGAAAATTTTCAAGCATGATAGAGATTTCAGATACACTTGCGAAATTTGATGATGGATTCGCAGCATAGGTAATAGAAATTACCAGTTTTAGGATATTTGCTCCAGATGGTAGAATGTTTCCGCTTGGTCTTTTGACTTGGCCGCCTTTCGCGAGACTGCTTCTAAAACATCATTTGTATAAGGTCGTGACGTAAATTTATTAAACCTTCGTCTGCCTCCGAAAAATCTAAAGCTTCAGTGCTCCTAAGGACATCATTTAGCGAAACTGAACAGAAAATAAATGGCAAGAATCATTTTAAACCTCTTGTCGTTTTGTGTGTTCACGTACTGCGTCCTGAGTTCATCAGTCATTCCGACATTGTCCGGGCAATCTTTATTCGTTCCTATAAAGTTTGTAGTCAAAAGACTAATTTAACTTCGTCTTTCTGAAAATAGTGGAACGATTATTTTAATACATGCGGTTGCTAATCCGGAGATTTATTGAATTCGAGAAAGAAACAAAAACGGAGAATGAAGAAAAGAAAAGCACACTTAGGTAGCTTTCATCAAAGGCAGACTGGGAGACATTGCAAATTAAAATTTGTAACTGCTATCAATGTTGTCTGAGACCTTCCTTTGGTTTTGTAATTACTATATTCTCCAGGATTTCTGCTTATACAGCACCGTTAACGTAGTCCGTAGCTCATTAGTTATTCCGTAATAGCTTTTACGCAAAATGTAAAGGCTATGATGGAATGACTAATAAATTGGTCACGGGATCAACCTTTTTGGAGTGAAGAAACGAACATCCCTATCTATCTTTCAATGGTGACTGTAGTACCAAAAAGGCTACTGCATTCAGAAGACCGAGTTCTCAAAATTCTTCCAATTCCAACTTGGTTTTATTAGGATGTCTTGGAGTTAAGTTCTATGGCTTGACACTTGCCAAGATTTTTGAGAGCCATTTTGGAGTTGCAAAAGCCGACGAAACGCCTCTTTTTTGATAGTAAATTTTTCCCTGTATCCCTAAATAAAAATTCTGGGAATCCTATTGCCTTCTATGGTTATACAAGGCAAATTTTTTGCCTTCGACAGCTTAGTTGTAAGCAGAGACCGAGCACCGTACACTTACCTGTAAGTACTTTTGACATATGTAAAAAAGCAGTATAAGATGTGAAAGTGAGTTTCGTTTTAGCCCACTTTAGCCTAGCCCTCAGAGAGAAATTCATGTTTTATGTTTAAAAAATGGGATCAAAAGGATTTGGTATCTTTGATGCTTCGATTAGAACATTCGCTTTAGTACGTAATAAAAGAAACCAAAAAATTTCCCTGCTGCCCTTTGTAATGGTATGTACATGCTTTTAGTCCCTCGCCAGAAGGAGACAAGATGCATGGCCACTGATAAGTGCAGAGTAACTGTTTGATTATTCACAGTACCGCGAGCGCATGTTTAGTTTGATTTCATTAGAGGCCTGAACGCCTGTATAATCAGAATTCTAAAATTCTACAAATAAGTACCTGTGGGTAGCTCGCCAGGATAGGAAGCCTTCATGGTTGTTGTTGTTGTGGCCTTTGCGGTCTCTGTTGTGGTCTTTGTTGTGGCCTTTGTTGTGGCCTTTGCGGTCTCTGTTGTGGTCTTTGTTGTGGCCTCTGTTGTGGACTCTGTGGTTGATTGCTCGGGCGCTTCGCACAATCTTGTTTCTGTGTTGCACGGTCTAGTGTTTTTGTTACAACCACTACAGGCTTTTGTTGCATTAACCGTATAGATAACTCCAGTTCCATCTTTAGGAATTGGGCTATAAATAACATAACTTCAGTTTCTGTGATGTACTATTTGAGAGCGGCCAAAAAGGCTCAAAAGCAAGTAAAGCTGTTTTAGTCGCAGACAGAACTGCATATGCATAGGCGACTTATGACACGCAAAGATTGGGCGCCATTGCGTCCCACCGCGATATTTGGTGCATGAGAGAGACAGCGTATGGTAGTGAAACGAAGCGTTCCATCAAAAAGACGCCGAGACGTCCCCATCATTGCATGCTACGAGTCGCCGATATTTGCTTGATTAACGAAATCAAAATTCATTGGGAAAATCGAAGATTTCGTAAAACTTCTTCAAAGCGATGCCGAATTAAAAAAACCCAATGATTTCTATCATATGCGCTCTAAAAACTGTACCGGAGAAGCATAAGACTTCTGGCTCAAGCGATCTCCAAAAATACTAGATAAATCCATCTGGTACGTTCTATCTAATGGTTTGCTTGACTATGGGCTTGTTGTTCTTGGATCGTAACAAGCACCAAATTGTAATTGTAAATGTTTGAATATTTGAGAAATTTAGCCTCACTGTTGAACAGTCATTACACAATCTTTTCCAGAAAACCTGACATTTAGCTTGAGGCTTGCAAATTCTTCGTTATCCACGCAACAGGCAATTCTGCGGAAGAAAGCTTACGGTTTGTTTGTTAGGCATAACAGGGGTCTCTTTCCGGATTCACAAATGTGTGCACAGCCAATCTTTGTCGTTTTATCATTCATAAGCTGAAATATGTTGACATTATCTTGTTGATGTCGTGTGGAACTCAATTACACAGAAACTGACATTAGCGAAGTTCTCGAATTTGCCATCATTATTAGGCCTTTTGATTTCAGTAGGGGCCCCAGTGAGGCCGTTAAACGAAGCCGCGCTATGCTCCCTTAACCAAGCGGCGACCGCACAGCTCGGCGAAAGCCCGAATTCATCAGGATCGCTAAAATTTACGTCGTAATATGATCTTCACATATGAACGTAAACAGCGATGAATGTGCCGTCACCATTCACTTTCGAAACCTTTGAAAATTTGCTGAATTAATAGGTGAATAATTAATCCATTACCAAGGCCACGGCACAATAACTATAAATGAAAAGTCTGTTAGTGATTGCTTACTCATAGAAGAGCACTGCTTTATTGTTAACTACAGGTGCTGTCGAAATGTCACAGTCGAGTTTTCTTATCGCGGTTTTCTCCAGATTGCAGTCCCATTCCTAAGTTGTTATTGCAAAGCTTTTACGGAGCTTTATATAATAGTGTATCATGTGAAAAGACTACTATTCGAAGCTGAGATACTTGGGCCAAATGAAAATTAGAATTCGGGAGCTCTCACCTTCAAGCCTAAGTGCTAGTTTTTGACACGGGTCATACCTGCCCAAAGTATAAAATACAATGCACTTACAAGTTTGTTCATTGCATTCGCTTGTGGAAATATATTCGCTGGAGGTGCTTTACCGTCTTTCAAATTTCCCTGTGCCAACACCGATCGTATTTTATTGATAGGGTCTAGTATAGAATCGATAACCGACTTTTCGAGTTGACCATCAGAGCAATACGCTGTAAAGGATTATATTTGGAGTATAGCTTTGTCGGATGTTCTAACCAACCTTCTGACGAAGCTGAAGGCACTAATATTGCCTGAAAATTAAAATTTATTGTAATTTAGTAATGGTTCTGTAAATGGCTTGTAAGAGAGTCCTCACCGTTAGAGGCAAAATCGAAAAAAGGAACATTTTGTAGATTTTCGAACTATTCGAGATTCGCCTGCTTTTATGCAGCCGCTATGGGCGTGACACCATCTTTGACGTAATATCAAATGTTTAAAAATCTGTTTAACTTGATGCAAGCATATCTTCCAGAATTTTCAGAAAAAAAAGTTAGCTGCACAATATGTTATTCAGTTGCTACCATTGTTTCATGCTGTGCACGAAAAATATTGCAGCAAACTTTTTCAAAAAATCTAAGGCAATTCTTTTATTCCGAGGAAGAGCATTTCACTTGTTCGTTGCTGACCACTTGACAGAAGTTATCTAAAGAAAAAAGCGAGGATTTAATAATCGTAATTTGTGGAAAAAATAAAAGCATACTGGTTGGAAATAAGTAAAACCCTACTCTTCATTGTCTCTTATGCTAGTCTTATAATTAGTTATTTTGTAGGATTAGTTTCAGAATGGTGTGACAGCTGAGGCTTTTTGATGCAGGCACCAATGTAAGAGTTTCAAAGCAAATCCGAAAGAAGAGGGACGGTTTGAGGGTGGAAGAGGAGAATGAGTTTGAGTATTTGTTGGGGTAGGTTAACCAATGTTCGCCCTACCGTGACCGACTCACACAGTCTTTTTTCTGTTTTTGAGAAGTACACTAGTGCAGGGTTGAATTTGTGAGCCACAACTACCACAAAACACTGTGCTTTCTGTGAGTTCCGGGACAAAATTATGAATTGGTTCAAAAGTGTGTCGCACCGTTTTTGTAAATCGTAACTTTTTGCACAACTTGATTTTGACGGAAGGGAATCAAATTTTTGTAGTGGTTTGCTGCTCTTCGGCGAGGGTAAGCTTTTGAAATAGAAGCACGTAAAGGAGGCATAGAAACTGCTGGTAAGCTTTTGAAATAGAAGAAGGTAAAAGAGGCGAACTAAACTTGGGTATCTTCGGTGGTGAAGATCAATCAAGTTCGCTCGACTCAACGGGTTCACTTGATTTTCTTCTGTTTTTGAGGAGTATACAACCGCTGACTAGAATATGTGAGTCACAATCGCCGAGAGAGCCATTCAGCCATTCAAGATTTGCAAACAAAGGTCGTGAGAGTTCTGCTGACTTCTCAAGCTCTACCTAAATGTTCTTATGCCAGTGAAGGCAAAGTAATAGGTTGGTGCAAGTTCTGTCGCGTTTTTGTGAAATCATAACTGCTTCTTCACGATTTGCAAAAGCTTAATTTCTGCAAGGGAAAAATCATTTTTTGTAGCAATACCTTCGGTGAGGGTTAACTTTTAAGATCAAAGCAGGCGAATAAAATCGCTTCAGCGTTGGTCATCTTGAGTTAGGTCTCAAGAAAACGAAAGCTACAAGATTCTGACGTGAGCAAAAAGTAAAATAAATCTTGAGATACGTCCTTTCCAAATGTGCAGAGCGCTAAGCATTTTGAAGGGTTGACTTTTGGAAAAAAGCCGAAAAAATGAAATTTGCTCTTTTGTACTGCTTGCTGAGAAATTATGACTCTTTGAAGTGCCTGATTAGTACAGCACAGTTGAGAGTGTATTGTTAGCCTTTATCATTATTCAAATGGATAGTAATCCCAATCAGTAAAGGCCAAACTTTCAAAGGTTGTATGTGAATATTGTGAGTCATTAAGAATCTCATTGTTATCCGCTTGTTCCGAAACTCACTGCAAGTTTCAAATTTTTGGCAGCCCAACGTAAAATGCCCTTAGCAAATGTGATTTTAATCTCCTGCTTGTATCTCAAAAGCGTGCCCTTATTGGAGGTACTTTCGCAAGGGGATTTTTTCTAGTATAAGATTAAGCTTACAAATCCGTTGAGGGAAGAAAGCGTTGAATTTTTCAAAAAATGGTGCGAGAGCATTTTCGCATTAACCTATTGAGTAGATCATTTGTAGCTTGACAAACTTTTACATTTTATCTTTTTATTCTGGAAAAATCTTAGTCTTGCGAATATCAAAGGCGAAGTCGGGAAACTCGGTACCTGGGTGCAGGATTAGAAAAGTTCTCTGAGCCTGGTTAAGCGATAACTCTCTGGTTCAGATGTATGTGAAAGTCACCTTCAATCCTTAGCTCAGACTGCGTTTCTGCCGTAATCAAGAATGCTGATCAGTCTGCTCGGAAAGAAAAGCTGGAGATTCAAATGAAACTTTTTGGCTACAATCATAATATGCGCTTGGGGCTTGGGCTACCTTCGCTAAGAGCTTTCGTTAGTATAATACAAATATAAGGTCCTACCAGCTTGCTTTTCACCTATTTCAAGGGATTATACTATCTTTCCATAGAAGTACTCATTGCAGAAACATGTAATAGCTCTGCGATAAACTTGTTTCAGCTTCGTTCTTACAACAAAGGATGGCGATGTGTTTAGATCGGGACACGTGGTAATGAGATAAGCTAAGGTTTAGTGGTGTGAAATCACGTTCCTTAGAGAATATTGTAAAATGAAAAAGACTTCTAAAATCTTGTAATTTGACTCTCTTTAAAATGTAGATAAGCTCAAGCCTAACAGAATAGACATTTCCGAACTGGTGGCTTTTTTTACAGAGCAAAATATAAGGATCTTTTAGCAAAGCAAATGAAACATGTTGAAGGTATCATGACATTCCAAGTGTTATCCAACACTCGTTTCACTACACATGTAATGCAATTCCTCCTTTTTTAGAGTGATGTTCATCGTTGTTCTCTCAGGCAAGTGTTGCTTGCTAAAATCTTATAGTTTTTTGGGTGATACAAGTCTATTTTGAAAACTCCACATGCTAGGGTACTCGTTTCAAAAAGGCGGTGTTCCCACATTGAACAAAAGACGCACCTTGTATATATCTAATTTTGAACCAAGCATCTTTTCAGCAGAAAATGACTGTTCTAACGACAATTTCAATCTCTTTGCATGGGGGCGCCAAAGTCTTGGCTTATGGTAGCCGACAATTTTATTATTCATCAATGAATTGGTCCTTAAGAAACAGTCAAGCTTCACTGTATAGCAAAAACCTTGTGCAAATCAGTCCATCCTTTAATCTACAATTGAGCCCCTGTCTCGGGTGAAAAACACGGGTTGCGGAGTATCAATTTTGACGAAGTCCTCGGGACTGCATAATTGGTTCGAACTGTTTTTTTACAAGATCGAATAAGAATATTTGGAAAGAGAATGTTACAAGGATTCGAACAGCCATCAAATGTTCACAACTCACTTTCGTTAGAAGGGTTTTCATTAAATCGCTCCGACGAAGCGATCGCAACAAAATCGTCTCATTTTCGTTGGTTCATGTTTCTCCAATCACAATAAATATAGGTACAACTAGAAATGATTATCAATGAAAACTCATATTAACATGAAGAAATTCAATCTCCTTGCATTCTGAATGCGACAACTTCGTCGCGATCCTTCAGTTTCGACAACTCAATGGAAACTACCCTCCTAGTGGAAGTAGATTAACTCGTTTTGTTCCACGAAATCGCTCACGGCGAAAAAAAGAGTGTACTTGCAGCTGTTGTTAACAGAGAGACCTTATTTATAAACTGTGTGCTAAATCTGTAATCAGCAGTCAGATAAGCTGCGTACCCAAAAATCTGAGTGAATTCAGAGTGTTTGGATTTTGTCGATTGAGAGGGACTTTTGTGCTTTCCTTGTAGATAGTAACAAGAACTCAATCTCTAATAGTCCAAAAGTATCTGTGTTGCACACGATACACATGAAACTAGTTTTTCTCTTTGGAATCGAAGCAAGGAAAAGTTGCGACGTCGCACGCGTTGTTCGCGTTGCCACACATCGCTGCAACTGGTTCGATCTGTCTTCGTATCTCCTAAACACTATCTGCGGCACAGCTCTACAGAGTCCTTGAAAAGTGGTAGCTTAGGCCTTTGGCTTGATAACTTTGGATTGATAGAAAACTTTCTGTAGACGTCGAAAAGAGTTTTCAAAGCAGTTTGCTGCACCATGTTAGCACCGGTCCGAAACGTGTTGACCAATTGATGGTTTTAGCATCATTATATCACACTCTTTTCGAATACCGTCATTAGATCTAATGAAAATTATTTTGATCTTAGTTATGGACTCCAGCGTCCGTTCTACCCAAATTTGACCTCAGCAATATTTTGTTGAAGATAAACTCACAATATTATTTGATTCTTTACAAAATTGTTTGTTATTGAACATTTTGTTCAGATTGCAATTTGTTCGGACTCTGAACAGATATGCGAAAAAAGAATATTTAATTAATCACCATTCGTGCACGCACTTGACTTTTGTGCAAATAGTACGCGATTATTGAAGTTATCCTGAACCAGCATCAAAGCCATCTTTGCTTCTGTTTATCATTCTGTTGCTTTTTTGCACTTTTGGAGAGATATGTACAGAGATTGTGCATAGTTCATTTTGGGCAGCGCTGCTCGTTCATTAGATTATAGGAATATAGGTATCAAGATCATATTTCTTGATCTGAATGCTGACGAATTTTTTCGTCCACTCTGAGCGAAATATGGTGATGTCACATGAATCGGGCGACTTTGCGTCATTTTTTTTTCAAAAAATATGAGGGGTATTGTATGGTGATTTCTAAAACAACATCCGTTGAGTGAAACATCAGAAAAAAACACATATTCCATTTGCTTTGCCAGAGAGAATTATAGCGATTTTCTGGATTGTGTGCTACAAAGATGGTGATAACAAAGCTTTCATTACTCACCCCCCCCCCCTGGACACTTCACAACAGTAGCAGTCGAAGCAGTGTGAAAGCAGTCAAATCAAACCATACTCAGCAGACGTCTGAGTTCTACGTATCTATCGACTGATTGCTAGCCATGAAAGCCAAAGATACCCAAACGGATTTCGTGATAGCAAGTTTCAGTGTCTACTGGGTCTAACGCTGTATACTGTATAAGTCTCAGTAGTGCAAATAACTACATAAGCAATACGGAATACATAAGCATGTCAAAAATGTAACTAGTTTGCTTAACGCCCACAATCGATCATACTACATCATCATATACATAAAGTGAACAACATGTTTACAGTATGTTGTGACTAATATTGTGTAAAAAGCGTCGGAAACTTCTATGAAGTGATCCCTTTTATGTACCAAAGAAACACAG